CAGGTTTGCAGGTAGATAAAATGATAAAATGCACCAATGAATGTTTAACAACCATTATCTGGCTGGGGGGTGGTGCTCCATCATCAAATGGCCAGTCCTGAGGGGAGAAAGTCCTTTAAACCCACCAATTCTGCATTTAGTTAAAAAAAAAGGATAATAAACACAAAAAAAAGGATAATAAACAAAATTTTGGGGGGTTTTTCAGGTTTGCAGGTGGATAAAATGCAAAATTGAATGTTTAACAACCATTATCTGGCTGGGGTGGTGGTGCCCCATCATCAAACGGCCAGTCCTGAGGGGAGAAAATCCTTTAAACCCACCAATTCTGCATTTAGTACAAAAAAAAAAGGATAATAAACACAATTTTGGGGGTTTTTCAGGTTTGCAGGCGGATAAAATGCAAAATTGAATGTTTAAAAACCATTATCTGGCTGGGGGGCGGTGCTCGGCCAGTCCTGAGGGGAGAAAATCCTTTAAACCCACCAATTCTGCATTTAGTTAAAAAAAAAAAGGATAATAAACACAAAAAAAAAAAGGATAATAAACACAATTTTTGGGTATTTTTCAGGTTTGCAGGTGGATAAAATGATAAAATGCACCATTGAATGTTTAACAACCATTATCTGGCTGGGGGGTGGTGCTCCATCATCAAATGGCCAGTCCTGAGGGGAGAAAATCCTTTAAACCCACCAATTCTGCATTTAGTTAAAAAAAAAGGATAATAAACACAAAAAAAAGGATAATAAACACAATTTTTGGGTATTTTTCAGGTTTGCAGGTGGATAAAATGATAAAATGCACCAATGAATGTTTAACAACCATTATCTGGCTGGGGGGTGGTGCTCCATCATCAAATGGCCAGTCCTGAGGGGAGAAAGTCCTTTAAACCCACCAATTCTGCATTTAGTTAAAAAAAAAAAGGATAATAAACACAAAAAAAAGGATAATAAACAAAATTTTGGGGGGTTTTTCAGGTTTGCAGGTGGATAAAATGCAAAATTGAATGTTTAACAACCATTATCTGGCTGGGGTGGTGGTGCCCCATCATCAAACGGCCAGTCCTGAGGGAAGAAAATCCTTTAAACCCACAAATTCTGCATTTAGTCAAAAAAAAAAGGATAATAAACACAATTTTTGGGTATTTTTCAGGTTTGCAGGTGGATAAAATGCACCATTAAGTGTTTAACAAGCATTGAATTGCACTTGGCACTGCAGCCCCACCTGAACTCATCTGCAATAAAGAGTTTTTAAGAGAAAATTTCAGGGTTTATAAGAGAAATCCCTGTCCTTGAAATGGCATTTTATTAAAAAAAGATGTGAAAATCAATAGGTATTTTCAGATAAACACGGGAGAGAGGAGAACTCTGCTGGTGGCTGAAAATCCCATTTATGCTCCAGGCTCTGAGGGGCGGAAAATGCTCCTAAAAATTCCCAATTCCAGAGGTGTTTTTAATTTGAAAAAAACCCACAATATGAGGAGAAAGGTGCTCAAATAATGGCAGAAATTCACATTTTTTGCTGTTGAAGGGGCAGCCACCATGAAATCCAGAATATATTTAATATCAATAATCAAAAATTGGTATTTTTGCTCTGGTGGTGGCTGTGGCACCCTCTGAAAATCCCATTCTGAGGGGGTGAAGCTGCTCCTAAAAATTCCCAATTCCAGAGGAGCAGCTCCTCCAGGAACTCAGGGAATTTTCAATTTGAGAAAAAAACCCAAAAAAATAACCACTTTTATGAGTAGGAAAGTGCTCAAATAATGGCAGAAATTCACTTTTTTTGCTGTTGAAGGGGCAGCTCCCATTAAATCCAGGCTATATTAAATATCAATAATCAAAATTTGTGCTCCAGGCTCTGAGGGGGTGAAGCTGCTCCTAAAAATTCCAATTCCAGAGGAGCAGATCCTCCAGGAATTCAGGGAGTTTCCAATCCCCTGCATGTTTTTAATTTGAAAAAAAACCCAAAAAAATCCCCTCTTTTATGAGGAGAAAGGTGCTCAAATAATGGCAGAAATTCACATTTTTGCTGTTGAAGGGGCAGCCACCATGAAATCCAGGATATATTTAATATCAATAATCAAAAATTGGTATTTTTGCTCTGCTGGTGGCTGTGGCACCCTCTGAAAATCCCATTCTGAGGGGGTAATGCTGCTCCTAAAAATTCCCAATTCCAAAGGAGCAGCTCCTTCAGGAATTCAAGGAGCTCTCTCCCCTCTTTAGGACTAAAAATCTCTTTTCTAGAGCACTTCAAATGTGCTGTGAGGTGGGAACTCAGTTAAAAAAAAAAAAAAACCAAAAATATCAAAATAATTTTATATGGGATTAATTCACCCAGCCTGAAGAGTGCAGAGAAATCCTTTGTTAAAGGACTTGGAAAATTAAAAATATCTGGGACAACACAGCAAAGGGAAAGGCCACAGGAATAAAACCACAAATCAGAATTTGTTCTTTCTAATAAAAGGTTTTTATGGGATTTTCCAGCCGACCCCACAGAGCTGCTGGGTTATTTTATTTTCTTCCCAGGAAGAGAGGGACAGACAGCAGGATGCTGCTTTTGAAAGAGGATTTTCTGTGTTTAATTGAAATTAAACCTTTTCCTTCCTATCCACACAACTCCTGAATCGATCCCAGCACTGATAAAATAATTCTGGCATCAGGGATGGAATTGCAGCAAAGTTTTGTAGGAATTTTTCCTTATTTTGAACTCTGGGTTGCCGTTGGACAGGGGAAAAAAAGCAAATTATGAAGTGCACAGTGATTAAAACCCAGGATTGCACAAATGGGAGAGGCAGGAAAGGGATTTATCATTTTTTCCCTTTTTTTTGGGATGGCACAACAGCAACACAGGTGGTGAAGTGACAGAACTCTGAGGTGATAAAAAAGTTTTTCTTCAAAAATATTGGATTTAGGAGCTCCAAGGAATTCCAAGCAAGGAATTCCCACCTCCCTGTGCCATGCTGGTGGTGGCTCTTGAGGGGCAAAAAAGGGTAAAAAATCTGATTCAATAAATTAAAGCGTGAGAAAAAGAATAAGGATATATCCATTGGATCATGAAGATTAACAAAGACACATTTGGAAGGCAAAAAGTGCCAAAAATCCCCTCAGAAAAAATAAGTTGAAGATGAACAAAGCCACCTGTGGAAAGCAAAAAATCCCCTCAGAAAAAAATAAATACTGAAGATGAACAAAGTCACCTGTGGAAACCAAAAAGTGCCAAAAATCCCCTCAGAAAAAAAGAAAATATTGAAGATGAACAGAGCCACCACAGCCCCTCTGGAAGGCATAAAGTGCCAAAAATCCTTTCAGAAAAATAGTAAAAAATACTGAAGATGAACAAAGCCACCTCTGGAAGGCAAAAAGTACCAAAAATCCCCTCAGGAAAAAAGAAAAAATACTGAAGATGAACAAAGACACCTGTGGAAGGCAAAAAATCCCCTCAGAAAAAAAGAAAATACTGAAGATGAACAAAGCCACCTCTGGAAGGCAAAAAGTGCCAAAAATCCCCTCAGAAAAAAAGAAAATATTGAAGATGAACAGAGCCACCACAGCCCCTCTGGAAGGCAAAAAGTGACAAAAATCCTTTCAGAAAAATAGTAAAAAATACTGAAGATGAACAAAGCCACCTCTGGAAGGCAAAAAGTACCAAAAATCCCCTCAGAAAAAATAAACTGAAGATGAACAAAGCCACCACAGCCCTTCTGGAAGGCAAAAAGTGACAAAAATCCTTTCAGAAAACTGAAGATGAACAAGACCACCTGTGGAAGGCAAAAAGTACCAAAAATCCCCTCAGGAAAAAAAGAAAAAATACTGAAGATGAACAAGGCCACCTCTGGAAGGCAAAAAGTGCAAAAAATCCCCTCAGGAAAAAGAAAATACTGAAAATTAACAAAGCCACCTCTGGAAGGCAAAAAGTACCAAAAATCCCCTCAGAAAAAAGAAAATACTGATAATGAACAAAGCCACCACAGCCCCTCTGGAAGGCAAAACTCCTCAGAAAAAAACCCCAAAAATTCCTGGTTTTCCTGATTTTGTGCTCCTGAATTTTGTGCAGCCCAAGGAATGAAATCCATCCCTGCAGGGAATTGCCTCATTCCCTATTTTCTGCCATCTGAATAAAAAACTCTGGAGCCGCCACATTTTACCCGCGCCCAGGTTTGCCAAAACATTTCCATTTTCAGGGCTTCCACCACGTTTTTGACCTCAGCAGTGCTAAAATAGCCATTAAATGGCGCTAAACGAGGCGCTAATCTTGCCCCAGGCTGTGTTTTAATGTCGAATGTTATTTTTCACAGGCAATATTAGCTCGAAATAGCGAGGTGTTATTTTCTCAGCTGGGGGTTACTCAATCCCATTTCAGAGCAGCAAGAGGACGATTCTGGCTGGAAAATAAAAAGCAGGAATTCGTGGGGGAAAGGAGCTGGATTTATCTCCCTCATGGAGCAGCGTCCTGAAGATTTTTACGCTGAAATATCTTCAAAAAGGAGATTTTGCTCTCCACACCAGGGCAGAGCTGCAGCAAACCCCATTTCCAGTTTTGTTTTTAAGCAAAGCTTCCTCAAAGTGCAGCTTTCTGTTCAAAATTGAGGTTTTAAAGCTTCCTGAGAAGCAAAAAAAACTTTAATTATTTTAGAAATACAAACTCCAAGGCCTGGAGAAGGAGGGAATTCCATCCCACGGGAGGAATTTCCTCTCTGGAATAGGAATTCTCTCCCAAGCCCCAGCTTAACTCAGGGCTCAGAGGGATTGCACAGCACAAATTTAATTTGATTTAATTTAATTTAATTTAATCCTCCCAGCCCTGAGGAGTGTCCCAGCGTTGTCTGGGAGGAGGAAAATCACAATTCCAGAGGGCAGCCCTGCAAGGAGGGACTTTTCCAACCACGTGGAACTGGAATAAAAACTCTGCATGGCTGGGAGCCAGGAAACCTGACTGGCCTGCACATGGAATTTTAACAGATATGCCACAATAAAATTACTTTCTCCTCATGGAAAACTGCAGAGTTTTCCATAGTTTTGGGGTATTTTTCTGCATGGGAAACTGCAGGAGTTTTCCATGTTTTTGAGGTTTATTGCCCTCATGGAAAACTGCAAGAGTTTTCCTGTGGAAGCCACAAAGCCTGATTGATCTGTACGTGGAATTTTAACAGATATGCCAGGATAATATTTCTTTTCTCCGTGGAAAAAAATCTTTTTCCTCATGGAAAACTGCAGGAGCTTTCCATGGTTTTTTAAAATTTTCCTCATGGAAAACTGCAGGAGTTTTCCTGTGGAAGCTACAGAACCTGACTGACCTGGATGTGGAATTTTCATTGATAAGCCACAATAATTTTTTTTTTCCCTCATGGAAAACTGCAGGAGTTTTCCTGTGGAAGCCACAAAACCTGACTGACCTGGATGTGGAATTCAATATTCCACGATAAAAATCTTTTTCTCCACAGAAAAACAAAATTTTCTCCTCATGGAAAAGTGCAGGAGTTTTGCCAGAAAACCTGACTGATCTGGACCTGGAATTTTCACTGATATGCCTGAATAAAAATTTTTTTTCCTCGTGGAAAACTGTATTTTTCCTGCAGAAGCCAAGAAACCTGACTCACCTGGATGTGGAATTTTCAGTGATATGCCACAATAATTTTATTTTTCCCTCATGAAAAACTGCAGGAGTTTTCCTGTGGAAACCAAGAAACTTGACTAACCTGGATGTGGAATTTTATATGCCAGGATAAAATTTTCTTTTCCTCATGGAAAACTGCATTTTTCCTGTAGAAGCCAAGAAACCCGACTCACCTGGATGTGGAATTTTCATTGATATGCCACAATAATTTTATTTTTCCCTCATAGAAAACTGCAAGACTTTTCCTGTGGAAGCCACAAAACCTGACTGACCTGGATGTAGAATTTGATACGCCAGGATAAAAATTTTTTCTCCTCATGGCAAACTGCATTTTTCCGGCAGAAGCCAAGAAACCTGACTCACCTGGATGTGGAATTTTCATTGATAAGCCACAATAAATTTATTTTCCCCTCATGGAAAACTGCAGGAGTTTTCCTGCTGCTGAGCCACCTCATGAAGGCTGAGGTGCAATACACCACCAGGCTGTTTTTACTCACTCCAACAAAATAAACTGATTTTATCAGTTACTCTAATAATTCCCAAGTATTGCCTGGAAAAACACAGCCTGGAAGCTCGGGGTGAGCACACACCTCTTATAAAAACCTCCCTGGGTCAGGCAGACACCATTGCACAATGAAATGGGAGTGAGCAGGGCAGGAATTCCACCTGCTGAGCCCCACTCAGGGTCAGGAGGGGATTTTGGGAGGAATTCTTCACTCTGAGGGTGAGGAGGGATTTTTTTGGGATGGGTTTTTCACAGAATTTGTGGCTGCCCATGGGGTTTTTGGGATGGGTTTCCCACAGAATTTGTGGCCGCCCCAAGGCCAGGTTGGATTAATCTGGATATTGGGAGTGTCCCCCAGGCCATGGAGTGGATGAACTTCAAGAATTTCAACCCAAAACATTCCAGGATTTCACGGTTCCCTCCTGGCACAGAGATTTGTGGCAACTCAGGGGCCAGGAGGGGTTTTTGGGATGGGTTTTCCACAGAATTTGTGGCTGCCCATGGGGTTTTTGGGATGGATTTCCCACAGAATTTGTGGCTGCTCCAAGAGAATTCAAGGCCAGGTTGGATTAATCGGGATATTGGGAGTGTCCCCCTGGCCATGGTGTGGATAAGATTTAAGGATTTTAACCCAAAACATTCCAGGATTCCATGGTTCCCTCCTGCCACAGAAATTTGTGGTAACTTAAGGGTCAGAAGGGGATTTTGGGAGGAATTCTTCCTCTGAGGGTGAGGAGGGGTTTTTGGGATGGGTTTTCCACAGAATTTGGGCTGCCCATGGGGTTTTTGGGATGGATTTCCCACACAATTTGTGGCTGCTCCAAGAAAATTCAAGGCCAGGTTGGATTAATCTGGATATTGGGATAGTTCATCCACACTGTGGCCATGCTGTGGATGAATTTTAAGGATTCCAACCCAAAACATTCCAGGATTTCACGGTTCCCTCCTGGCACAGAGATTTGTGGCAACTCAGGGGTCAGGAGAGGTTTTTGGGATGGATTTCCCAGAGAATTTGTGGCTACTCCAAGAGAATTCAAGGCCAGGTTGGATTAATCTGGAGTGGGTTTTTATTAATTGGGAGTGTCCCTGGCCATGGTGTGGATGAGATTTAAGGATTTCAACCCAAAATATTCCAGGATTTCATGGTTCCCTCCTGCCACAGAGATTTGTGGCAATTTGTCACCCACAGGCCCAAAAGTGGCACCTTCTATAAGAGCAATGAGAGGGAATTTTATCCACATGCTGAGAAAACCAAAAAATGCTGTGGGGACAGAGACAAGGACCAAACCAAGCTTCAACCACAGGGCTGAGCACCAAATATCACCAAAATAACCCCTAAAAAACCACACAAAAATATCTCAACAAATCCAAAACCACACAAAAATCCATTGAGTTTTTCAAACCCACCTTTACCTGGTGCTACATTTTTTTGGCCATGCTGGACCATCCCCAAGCACTGAAGAGAGATCCCCACAAGTTCTAGAGGTGAAAATTCACATTTTTAGCCAGTTTTTAAAGGCAACTCACTAGAACTTGGATTCCTTCTTTCTCGATTGGAGCTTGATCATAAGTGGCATCACAAACTCGCACCAAAGTTGTCACCCCATATTTCTTCAGCTCCTTGAAGAGAAAATAAAACACTGAATAAGGAGAAATCTCTTTTTATCAGCTAGAGAAATCAACATTTTCCACATTTTTAGGGCTGCAAAGTGAGCGCACGTGGAAGGATAAAATTTGTGAGGAAATTTAAAAGGGACAGAGAAAATGAGAAATGTTTCTGAGGGGGAAAAATGTCACCCTGTACTCCTTGAGGAGAAATAAAACACCTGAACACTGAATAATGAGAAATCTCTTTTTATCAGCTAGAAAAATCAACATTTTCCACATTTTTAGGGCAGCAAAGTGAGTGCACGTGGAAGAAGAAAGGGATAAAATTTGTGAGGGACAGAAAAAATGAGAAACGTTTCTGAGGGGAAAAATGTCCCCCTGTACTCCTTGAAGAGAAATAAAACACCTGAGCACTGATCAGTGAGAAATATCTTTTTATCAGCTATAAAAATCAATATTTTCCACATTTTAGGGCAGCAAAGTGAGTGAACGTGGAAGAAGAAAGGGATAAAATTTGTGAGGGACAGGAAAAATGAGAAATGTTTCTGAGGGGGAAAAATTTCACCCTGTACTCCTTGAAGAGAAATAAAACACCTGAACACTGAATAATGAGAAATCTCCTTTTATCAGCTACAAAAATCAACATTTTCCACATTTTTAGTGCACCAAAGTGAGTGAACGTGGAAGGAGCAAGGGATAAAATTTGTGAGGGACAGGAAAAATGAGAAATGTTTCTGAGGGGGAAAAATATCCCCCTGTACTCCTTGAAGAGAAATAAAACACCTGAACACTGATCAATGAGAAATATCTTTTTATCAGCTATAAAAATCAGTATTTTCCACATTTTTAGGGCTGCAAAGTGAGTGCACGTGGAAGGAGCAAGGATTAAAATTTGTGAGGGACAGGAAAAATGAGAAACATTTCTGAGGGGGGAAAAATCGCAATTATAAAATTGGAATGATGAGAGTAAAATTGGAATTATGAGAGGAAAATTGCAATTATAAGAGTAAAATTTCTATTATAAGAGTACTAAAATAGCTGTTTAAATGCTCCAAGCAGCTTCTCCTTCTCTTTAAATAGAAGCTGGGACTGTTTGCTCCAGCCAGTGTTGACATTTGGAGGAACAGAACACACACCCCACACGCTCCAGCTTCCTGGTAATGCACTAAAAGCAGCACTCAGGGCCAGATAAAGAACCAGAGGATCAAACAAAAGCTGCTCCAGCTCAAAGGCACAAAATCAGAATTTTCTCTGCTGTTTGGGGTGGGATTGCACCACAGAATTAGCAGGAATACTCACTGAGGAGTGATGGAAAAAGAGAAAATTCTAAATCAAAATTCTCACTAATTGGGGTGGTGGAATCCTAGATGATACTGTGGGGAAAATGTGAAAAATAAAGACAAAGAAATCCTAAATTTCCTTCCAGAGATGAAGAAGGACAGGTCAGCAAATTCTTGGCCAGGAATTTTGAGGAATGTAAGAATTTTATTGACTCATTTTTGTCCAAGGAGCAAATCCTTGATGGCAAGGTTTGTATCTCAAAATTGAAGCTGATCCAGGCCAAAAATGCAGAAATTTCCTTAAATTTCCTTGCAGAGGTGAGGAAGGACAGGTCAGCAAATTCCTGGCCAGGAATTTTGAGGGATTTGGGGATTTTTGGACTCATTTTTGTCCAAGGAACAAATCCTCGATGGCAAGGTTTGTATACCAAAATTGAAGTTGATCCAAGCCAAAAATGCAGGAATTGAGAAAAAATCCTTAAATTTCCTTGCAGAGGTGAGGAAGGACAGGTCAGCAATTCCTGGCCAGGAATTTGGAGGGATTTGGGAATTTTTTGACTCATTTTTGTCCAAGGAATTAACCCTTGGTGGCAAGGTGGGGGCAGTGTTTGTATCTCAAAATTGAAGCTCATCCAAGCCAAGAAATGCAGGAATTGAGAAAAAATCCTTAAATTTCCTTCCAGAGATGAAGAAGGACAGGTCAGAAGATTCTTGGACAGGAATTTCGAGGAATTTGGGAATTTTTTGGACTCATTTTTGTCCAAGGAGCAAATCCTTGATGGCAAGGTTTGTATCCCAAAATTGAAGTTGATCCAAGCCAAAAATGCAGGAATTGAGAATAAATCCTTAAATTTCCTTCCAGAGGTAAAGAAGGACAGGTCAGCAGATTCCTGGCCAGGAATTTTGAGGGATTTGGGGATTTTTTGGGCTCCTTACCTCGATGAACTTGCTGAGGGTTGCATTGGTTGGGTTGTGAGTGATCAGGAAACGCAGATTTTCATAAGTAATTTCCACGGGGGCCGGACGGTTCATAATGGCAAAAAGAATCGTGGTGAGGGGCCAAAAAAAAAAAAAAATCAAAATAAAACCCCCCCCCAAAAAAATAATAATAATAATAATAATAAAAAAATCAAAATAAAGGGGGGCAAAATAAAAAATAAAAAAAAAACAAAAAAAAAATCAATGACCTTGGAAACGTTTCACAGCAGAAAACATCAAAAAAGAGCACGGATTGATCAGAGCTGGCTTGGAGGGGTTTGTTGCTAGAAAAAGCAGGTTTGCTTCCAAATCCTCAGCTGCTGGCAGGGTGGTTTCCTTCAGGCTCCCCAAATTCCCAGAGCAGAGCACAGGCAGGGCAGCCTGTCCTGCATGGAGGCACTGGTGAGGTGAGGGTTTGGCTTTTGGTGTTTTCCCGGTGCCAGGAGAAATCCCATAAATCTGAGGCGGCTCCAGGAGTGTTGGAAGGGGAAAATAATCCAAAAAAAAAAAAAGAAAAAAAAAAAAAAAATTGGGAATTGTGGCAGCACAAAGAGGTTGGGGAGCCCCCTGTGAGCTCACTTGGCAGCCAGGGTGCTGTGCTGGGCCTGGCAGAAGTCTGCCCTGACGCTCAGAATCGCCATAAATGTGCCAAGGATCCTCCAACAGAACACCTGGAGAGGGGGAAAACACAGGGAAAAGGGTTGGTGGGGTGTGCTCCCAGCAGTGATCACACCCAGAGGAAATTCAATTCAAATTATCATTAAAAAAATCTAAATAAGTCAAAGTCCGGATAGTCCTAATCGCAAATATAGCGAGTAATTAAAATTAAAATAATCATTAAAAAATAACAACAAAAAAAAATCAAAGTCCTGATAGGTCTAATCTTAAATATTGTGGATAAATTAAAATTAAAATAATAATTTTTAAAAAAACCAAATAAATCAAAGTGATCTAGGTCTAATCATAAATATTGTGATAGGCCTAATGATAAATAATGGAAACACCTGGAATCATGGGAAAGTGTTGGTGGATTCTGTTCCCAGCAGTGATCCCCCCAGAGAAAATTAAATTGAAATTATCATTAAAAATAACCCAAATAAATCCAAGTTCGGATAGGCCTAATTATAAATATAGTGATATGCCTAATGACAGATAATCATAAATAATGGAAACACCTGGAAAAGTGGAAAAATAGTGGGAAAAGGGTTGGTGGATTCTGTTCCCAGCAGTGATCACACCCAGAGAAAATTAAATTCAAATTATCATTAAAAAATAATGAAATAAATCAAAGTCCAGATAGGCCTAATTATAAATATTGTAAATAAATTCATATTAAAATAACCATTAAAAAACCCAAGTAAATCAAAGTCCGGATATGTCTAATTATAAATATTGTGAATAAATAAATTATAAATATTGTGAATATTCTCTTGGGATTTGTTGTAATTCCTGCTTCTGAAATGGGGGAAAAACAGCAGGAAAAGGGTTGGTGGGTGCTGGTTCCAGAATGATCCCACCCAGAGAAAATTAAATTGAAATTATCATTAAAAAATAACCAAATAAATCCAAGTTCGGATAGGCCTAATTGTAAATATTGTGAATAAATTCAAATTAAAATAATCGTTTTTAAAAAACAAATAAAGTCCTGATACGTCCAATTATAAATATTGTGATTAAAATAATCATTAAAAAACTCCAAATAAATGAAAGTTCTGATAGGCCTAATTATAAATATTGTCAATAAAATAAAATTAAAATAATCATTAAAAAAAAATTGAAGTTCGGATAGGTCTAATCAAAAATATTGTGATGTGTCTAATGATAAATAATCATAAATAATGGAAACACCTGGAATGGGGGAAAACACAGGGAAAAGGGTTGGTGGGTGCTGGTTCCAGAATGATCACACCCAGAGAAACTTAAATTGAAATTATCATTAAAAAATAACCAAATAAATCCAAGTTCGGATAGGCCTAATTGTAAATATTGTGAATAAATTCAAATGTCAATAATCATTTAAAAAAATAAATCAATCAAAGTCCAGATAGGCCTAATCATAAACATTGCGAATAAACGCAAAATAATAATTTTAAAAATCAAAGCAATTTAGGCCTAATAATAAATATTGTGATAGGCCAAATGATAAATAATCATAAATAATGGAAACACCTGGAATCATGGAAAAGGGTTGGAGGATTTTGTTCCCAGCAGTGATCACACCCAGAGAAAATTCAATTTAAATTATCATTTAAAAATAACCAAATAAATCCAAGTTCGGATAGGCCTAATCGTAAATATTGTGAATAAATTCATATTAAAATAACCATTAAAAAACCCAAATAAATGAAAGTTCTGATAGGCCTAATTATAAATATTGTGAATACAATAAAATTAAAATAATCGTTAAAAAAAAATTGAAGTTCGGATAGGTCTAATTATAAATATTGTGATGTGTCCAATGATAAATAATCATAAATAATGGAAACACCTGGAATGGGGGAAAAACACAGGGAAAAGGGTTGGTGGGTGCTGGTTCCACAATGATCACACCCAGAGAAACTTAAATTGAAATTATCATTAAAAAATAACCAAATAAATCCAAGTTCGGATAGGCCTAATTGTAAATATTGTGAATAAATTCAAATTAAAATAATCGTTTTTAAAAAACAAATAAAGTCCTGATACGTCCAATTATAAATATTGCGATTAAAATAATCATTAAAAAACTCCAAATAAATGAAAGTTCTGATAGGCCTAATTATAAATATTGTGAATACAATAAAATTAAAATAATCGTTAAAAAAAAATTGAAGTTCGGATGGGTCTAATTATAAATATTGTGATGTGTCTAATGATAAATAATCATAAATAATGGAAACACCTGGAATGGGGGAAAAACACAGGGAAAAGGGTTGGTGGGTGCTGGTTCCAGAATGATCACACCCAGAGAAACTTAAATTGAAATTATCATTAAAAAATAACCAAATAAATCCATGTTCGGATAGGTCTAATCGTAAATATTGTGAATAAATTCAAATGTCAATAATCATTTAAAAAAATAAATCAATCAAAGTCCAGATAGGCCTAATCATAAACATTGCGAATAAACTCAAAATAATAATTTTAAAAATCAAAGCAATTTAGGCCTAATAATAAATATTGTGATAGGCCAAATGATAAATAATCATAAATAATGGAAACACCTGGAATCATGGAAAAGGGTTGGAGGATTTTGTTCCCAGCAGTGATCACACCCAGAGAAAATTCAATTCAAATTATCATTAAAAATAACCAAATAAATCCAAGTTCGGATAGGCCTAATTGTAAATATTGTGAATAAATTCATATTAAAATAACCATTAAAAAACCCAAATAAATGAAAGTTCTGATAGGCCTAATTATAAATATTGTGAATACAATAAAATTAAAATAATCGTTAAAAAAAAATTGAAGTTCGGATAGGTCTAATTATAAATATTGTGATGTGTCTAATGATAAATAATCATAAATAATGGAAACACCTGGAATGGGGGAAAAACACAGGGAAAAGGGTTGGTGGGTGCTGGTTCCAGAATGATCACACCCAGAGAAACTTAAATTGAAATTATCATTAAAAAATAACCAAATAAATCCAAGTTCGGATAGGTCTAATCGTAAATATTGTGAATAAATTCAAATTAAAATAATCATTAAAATAACCTAGTAAATCCAAGTCCAGATAGGCTTAATCATAAATATTGTGAATAAACTCAAAATAATAATTTCAAAAATCAAAGCAATTTAGGCCTAATCATAAATATTGTGATGTGTCCAATGATAAATAATCATAAATAATGGAAACACCTGGAATGGGGGAAAACACAGGGAAAAGGGTTGGTGGGTGCTGGTTCCACAATGATCCCACCCAGAGAAAATTAAATTAAAATTATCATTAAAAAAATTAAATAAATCAAAGTCCGGATAGGCCTAATTATAAATATTGTGAATAAATTCAAATTAAAATAATCATAAAAAAACCCAAATAAATTTTGTCCTCAGCACCAGGTTTGCTTGAAGAGCCTCACCCAGAGCTCTTTGTTCCATCCTTGATTTTTGCCCTGGAATTTGGATCAAACCAGGGCCATTTTTGAATCAAAGAGGGAATTTCACCCCAATTATTTCAAAAATTGTACAAACAATTTATTAAATGATTAAAATTGGAATATTTCATTTCCACGTGTGCAAGGAGCCAGCAGCTTCCAGCAGTGACAGCAGCTCCCCTTCCCACAGGAATATTCCTGAAATATTTAATTAGCTCCCAGCTCAGGAGTGATTAAAAATGTGGTTTTAATAAAACACTGGATTTAAGGCTGAATAAAGTTATTTCCAGTATATATATATATATATATATATATATTTATATAAAGTATTTCCATTGCTAACTTGAAAAGTTTGGGTTGCTGACAGATACTGAATTTAAATAGAAAAATAGAAAAATTTTCAAAAAATAGAAAATTTGCTGATTAAGAAAATTAAAAATTTTCTGCTTACAATTTTGATTTTTCTAAGGAAATATTTGAAACATTCTCAGTCCCTGCGCCACCAAGAAAATTCGAATTTAAAATCACAACAGAACCAATGAGGATAAATTGGAACCGGGTGTGTGGTGGCTTTGCAGGCAATGAAATTCAGATTTGCTGGTCAGAAAGTGAGAGAAGGAATGGAGAGGAGCCAAAAATGAGGAGGCTGGGCTGGGAAAGGGAGGGAAAGCAGAGAACAGCTGGGCAGGACAAACAGCTGGGCAGGACAAACATCTGGGGAGGACAAACAGCTGGGCAGGACAAACAGCTGGGGATGGACAAACAGCTGGGGAGGGACAAACAGCTGGGGATGGACAAACAGCTGGGGAGGGACAAACAGCTGGGGAGGGACAAACAGCTGGACAGGACAAACAGCTGGGGATGGACAAACAGCTGGGGAGGACAAACAGCTGGGAAGGGACAAACAGCTGGGGATGGACAAACAGCTGGGCAGGACAAACAGCTGGGAAGGGACAAACAGCTGGGGATGGACAAACAGC